TTGGAATCAAAACCAGTCATCACAAAAATAAATATGCAGCAGCATGTATGCATCAAGAAGTTTTTAACCTTATGTTTGATTTTAATTCCATAAAAATTATTATTTCCCTAGGTTCAATGCTCACAAAAATGCTTAATAAATCATTTTATCTATTTTGGAAAAATGCAAATTTTTCAGGGTATTACAAAAGATCCCTCATTAGTGAGATCAAGAGTAGCAAAGTGTGCATCCATCTTTCTCCCTAGGCTTGTCGTGGTCAAGTGAGAGTTCATGCTTGTTACTCTTGGTGATCGCCATCACCTAGACGGCTTGGTGGTGATTGAGAGCTTGGTGATCATCCGGAGAGCTTGTGGATGACCCAACTCACATTGTGAGCGGTTCTGGGTGATTCACCACGACAGAGTGTCGAAGAATCAACCCGTAGAGAGCACTTGATCCTTGCGCGGATCAAGGGGGAGCTACACCCTTGCGCGGGTGCTCCAATGAGGACTAGTGGGGAGTGGCGACTCTCCGATACCTCAGCAAAACATCACCGTGTTTCCTCTCCTCTCTATTTACTTTAAGCATTTACTTTGAGCAATTCAATTCTTGTTCTTACATTCATAGAATTGCCATGCTAGAGTAGGATTAGAACTTAGGTTGCAAGTCTTTTGTGCATTAGTTTAATAGAAACACTTTCTAGGCACAAGGGGTTAATTGGGCTAACTGTAGGACTTAATTATTGCAAAGAAATTTAGAATTAGCCCAATTCACCTTCCTCTTGGGCATCTTGATCCTTTCAGCGTCGATTGTTAATGACGCTACGAGCGTCATGGTTCGGCCTGGGGCATTCGCGCACAGGGGGTCGGTGTGGAGCGGGCGCTAGGTTGGGCTGTGGTGCGGCCACGGCCTCCTGCTCCACCCTCGGCAACAACAGTGGTGAGTGGATGGAGCGATTCGACTAGGGCGGCCCTATTCCTCCGGTTGGGCAAGAGGCCATGAGCTGGTGTCGCGACGCGGAGCTCTTCGCCTGTTGAACAGTGGCGGTCTCCACCAGCGCTCGAAGGTTCCAGTGGATTGCTTGTTCCTGGGGGTTGGCCGGCTTGGGGAGGCCGCGCAGAAGCATCACCGCAGCAGCGATGTTTTGGCCAGCTCGAGCAAACTGAGGGGGTCGTTCCCTCCGTCCAGGATGTTGCGCTGGACCTGATGGGCGCACCTCTAGGCGCCGCTCGCCGGGTTACACGTGCGTGGCGCAGCGTGCTGCGCCGAGCGCGCCGGCGCAGGTGGCGTCTGGCTCTGCCGCCTTTGTCGTAACTCCTCGTCGTGCTTCTGTGCACGTGCGAGGGCCTCCACACGAGGGTCTGGAGGGGTGTGAGTCTGTAGAGACTTCGCTACCATCGGTGGCTATCTCGGAGCATCCACCATAACACACTCCTAGGACAGAGGGTGGCCAGGTGCCACGATGTCGCCGATACTGGAGCCGTCGCTTTCGACCTCATCATCCACGAGGTCGTGAAAGGAGGCAGGAGCATAGCCCGCCATCCCCGCGAATTCGGATGTGAGAGGGGGCGACGTCAGCATCCTTCGGAGCCCTCGCGCGTACGCGTCCACGGGGGATGCGAAGCCATAGGGGAACCGGTCGCATAGCGGTCGCGGTGAGACAACGGGGTCCCTTCGGAGAGTCAGCGGAAGGTATTAAACATCAAGTAAAGAACAATATGTACGTTACTCAGCGAGGAGTTTGAGCCAAGTATGGGCTCAAGGCAAAGTGCGAGTGTCTCGACATTGGGGTCATTGAGTCGCCCGGGGTTGGTGGAGAGCGCTTCTCCTCTAGTGGACACCGGGACGAGCGCCTCTTTGCGGAGGCATAGTACGCTGAGCCAGTTGGCGATGAAGTCCAGACTCCCGAAGAGGAAAGTTTGGAGCAGTTGGAAGACGGGAGGAACCCACATCCCAACAGGTGGGAGCACGGGAAACTCCAGTGAGCCAAAGTGAATCGTATCGCTCGAGCCCGCCATGCCGAAGATGGTGGAAAGGTGGGCCATCCGATGACCAAAAGCGTAAATGCACGGCATCTATCCCTACGGACGGCACCAACTATCGGTGCGAAAAGTGACCAACAAGTAAATATTTGTAGTTTTGCCGTGCGTTGTGATCGGATATGGCCTAGCACTCAATGACATAGGATTTATACTGGTTCAGGCAACGTGCCCTACGTTCAGTTTCAGTCGATCGGTGACTTTATTCCTGAGCCCAGGTGCTCAAAGTTTGTTGTGGGCTTACAAACGAGTAGGAATAAGAAAGGGGTGTTAAAGGCCCGGTCGGACTCTAAACCAAGGGGCCGAGAGTGACGGGGGCTCTAACGTGTGCTAAGTATTGGAGCGTATGCTCTGTGTAGCTTTAGAGTTCTAGAGCTATTGAGCTATTCGGGTTCTCTTTTTTGAAGAGAGCCAGAGAGAAAAAGGTCCCCTAGTGAGGAGAGAGTGCATCCCCTTTTATAGTTTGAAGGGGATGGCCTTACAAGTCAGAGAAAGAGAGAATGGATACGTATGCTATCTAGTCTTGTTGCCTATGTTGTCGGGTATGAGACGGTCGTCGGCGCCCACAATACTGTTTATGTTAGATGCATGTGCCAGGCTCTACCGTGTTCGCCTGGTATGGCAAACGTCGACGCCTACAATACTGTTTGTACTCTGACACGCATAGAAGGTTGCATAGTGCTCGTCTAGCATGGCCTGGTGGCACCGTCCTGAAGGTGCGCAGGACATGGCAGGGTACAGTCCTCGGTATTGTGGTTGATTTGAGTGCCTTACCTTATTTGCTTTGCCTGATCCTTGGGTCCTCACCGAGCGGGCGTCCCCGGTCGGTCGTTCCCAGTTGACCCCGCCCGTGTCAGTCGGGGAAGAATCATGAGTAGAGGTCCGGCGTATCCCCGGGCGGAAAAGAAGGTCGGAGTCGGACTGTGTCCCCATCTTGGCCAGGTCTTTCGGTCGGGGACCAGATCATTGTCCTGGCCTGTCATTATGTATCTGGGCCGGTCCGGGAGGTGCGCGTTGTCGTAACGCCATCTGCTGGGTCGAGTTTTTGCAGAGAAGCAGGTCCATTGGGGACCCCCGGGTTTATGAACCCGACAGGTGGCAAACAACTAGTTAGTATGCTGGAACTACATGATCATGGATGGACCAGCTATGTTGTATGGTTGATACTTTTGATGAACCTGATATGTATTAGTCAATGGTTGCATAATGGTGGACGTCACCTTCTGGAATTAATGTAGCATAAACATTATAAATATGTGTGTCCTATTTTTTTTATAGTAGCTCGCGAGCTAAATGAGCCAGCTCGAGCTCGGTAACGAGCCGAGTGAGCTGTCCCTCTAGTTCGTAATATTAACGAGCCGAGCCGAGCCGAGCTGACTTGTTAGCCTAACGAGCTAGCTTGAGCTGAATCGAGAGCTGGATCGAGATCCAGCCCTAATTGTATGTGAACTTCAGCATACCATGCATTCAGACTTTGTGAGTTGTGTAGTGAATGTGTGTCCTCGTACATGTAATAGGACAGCTGATGCTTTAGCTGCCTATGGTGTAGTAGGCCTAGTGGTTTGCAGTCCACTTGGGATTTCGTCCTTCGAATTGTTGAGGGTTCGGTGACCAGCGAATTTGCTGAGTCTGATGAGTAATAAAGCCTACTTTCTCAACAACAACAAAAAAAAAACTCAAAACATAAAAAGTCAAAGCTTCTAAATAATCTACTACTTCCATTCCCTTTTATGGTCCCGTTCGGTTTGCTGAAACTTGGTTGAATTGGCTGAAAACATTGTTCTGGTTAAATTGTTGTGAGAGAAAAACACTGTTTCGGCTAAAAAACAAACTGAATAGTGCGGATTATAAGATAAGCCGAACGGGACCTATAAGACACACATATATCAAGATTCAAACTTCAAAATCTTTAACTAATAATTTGACTAATAATTTTTAATTATTATAACACAAACTTGATATATAGTTAGATTGTAATTAAATCTAGTATCCAGTTATCATAAATTTATAACTAAATAATATGAAATAAAATAAATAGATAGTCAAAGTATAATTTAGGAGACCATGTCATGTTAAGCTATGCCTTATAAAAGAGAATGAACGGAGTATCTAATTACGGTTGCGCATGATTGTATTTCTTACTATAAATTTTTTAAAACTAAATTCTAGTTTCATTTGCACTGTTCGGATAAATATTATTATGGCACTGGTTCAAATCAATGTTCACTAACCACTGGCAGTGTTCTATAAAAGGAATAAAAATAAAAAAGGAAGAAAAAAACTGGAAAAGAATATATTATTTGAATAAGGAGCGGCCCATGTCCCAGGAGGCAAGGACCCAGAGGCCATGCTGGACTGCTGGTGCCGTGGTGCGTTCGCTCCCCCCTCGGCTGCCCACTCTCCTCGCGTGCTCTCTCTCAGTCCCGGCGACGACTCCGCTACCGTCGCCGCCCTACGCCGGGTTCCGATGTCTTCGTGAGCCCCTTCTCCTGCAACGAGCACTCACCAGTCACCAGGTATGCCCGCCCCTTCTCTTCCTTTCCTGCTGTGCGAAACGGAGCACCCAAAGCCTAACCTAAGCTGTTTTGGCTATTTGTAATCGGATCTGATCTAATTGCAAGTGTATACATATATTGTCATGCCTCTTAATTTCGATTCTTTTGTAAAAGAAAAAGAATTATCGGATGTACACCCATGTCCTTCACTGGGTCCGCCCCTGGATATAAATAGCTAGTTAAATTTAAGTCAAAACAATTTGCTTTAGGATTCATTTTCTTCTACAGAAGCTCAGGTCATAAGGTGTCAAATTTGTGCCACATTCATGACATTTCGTCATCTTCTCTAGTTATCTCCGTATCAAGTGGTGTTACTCATCTTAAGTTGAAATATGTAGTCATTGTTTGCTCCTTTATTATTGCAGTGATTTATTGTGCATGAGGACTGCATCTCCCCTTGAAATTTGAGGCTTTGGAAAACTGTTGAATGGAGTATTCTTCAAGTGAAGACGAGGAATTGGTTGGAGATTTTATCGATGCTGAGGATAATACAGGCACTGAGAATATTGACCAAGGAACTGGTGTCATGGCTTCCCAGGTCCATGGCGATGATCCCTGCACGGGATCAATGCCACCTGTTATTGGAAATGAGCTGCTGATCGCAGCTGATGTTGTGGGCAAAAATGATGAACCACGTATGGGCATGGAATTCGAGTCTGATGCCGCTGCTCGGGCATTCTACAATGCATATGCTTTATGCTTTGGGTTTGGGATTCGTGTTGCCCGATCCCGTAGTGAGCGGAGAAAGGGTGTTGAGGTGCTCGTAATGAAGCGTTTTGTGTGCTTGAAAGAGGGACATCACAAGAAGAAGCCAGTTGAGCCTAGCAATAAGAAAAAGAGGAAACGACTCTCTATACGGGATGGGTGCCCAGCGATGATGGAAGTGGTGCGTAGGGGCCCGGATAAGTGGGTTATCACGAAGCTGGTGCTGGAGCACACCCATGTTATTGTTAGTGCAGATCGCGCACGGGAGGTCCAACTCCGTCGCCTCTCTGGAAAGTTTCAGGAACATGAGAACCAATTGCAGGAGCTGCGAAGGAATGTGTTTGGAGATACGAATGCACAAGGGCTCTTTAACTACTTCAAGAAAATGCAATCAGAGAATTCCAGCTTTTTCTTTTCTACACAAGTTGACAGTAAAAACTGTGTGAGCAATGCAGTTTGGGTTGATGCAAGAGCTAGAATGGCATACACATACTTTGGGGATGCTGTTTACTTTGACACTACTTATAGCCGAAATGAGAATATGCTGCCCTTTGCAGCTTTCACAGGAGTTAATCACCATGGCGACACTGTTGTTTTTGGCTGTGTCTTAATTTTGGACAGGACAGAATCTTCATATGGCTGGATTTTTGAGACGTGGTTGACAGCAATGGATAATCGGTTGCCATTTTCCTTTACTACTGATGAAGGTAAGGGAATAGCAGCTGCTGTTGCAAAAGTATTTCCTCAGTGTTTCCATCGTCTTTGCAGATGGCGCATCTTGTCTAGATGCAAGAAGAGACTGACTGATGTCTGCACAAGATTTCCTGGGTTACATGATGAGCTAAAGAGATGTGTCAATGGGTGTGATACTGTGGCTGTTTTTGACATGTTCTGGGGCTCCATTCTTGACAAGTATGGCCTGAGAGACGATAATTGGCTGCAGTCACTGTATGAAATAAGGGACAAATGGGTTCCTGCATACCTAACCAGCTCCTTCTTCGCTGAGCTGTCCTTAACTCACAGAGGAGAAACAGTCAGTAGGTTTTATAGGAATAACTTCAGTTCAAGAGTTTCTCTGAATACTTTTATAAGTAGATTTGATCAATATATAGACAGTCTGTATGCAAGTGAAGCCCAGAAAGACATCACTTCTTTTTCTCCTGAACAGTTTCCGAAAACCGACACGGTCTTAGAAAAACAAGCGAGGAGTATCTACACCAGAGCTGCATTCGAAACATTCCAGCTGGAATTGGTTGAAGCAATGCAGCATTATGCCGTCAAGGTTCAAGACGGATCATACATGAAATACTACGTCGAAAGAGGTGGTGATCCTCCTACCAGGCACATCGTTTTCTACAATGTTGCTGAGAAGAAGGCCTGGTGCGAGTGCTGCAGGTTTGCTTTCTCGGCGATACTGTGCAGGCATGTCCTTAGTGTGTTCCTTGTGGCTGGTGTCATCATGCTGCCAGAGCCTTGCATCACAAAGCGATGGACAAAGAAGGCTAAGACAGGGCCTGAACTGTTTGGGCTTAATGTTGGAAATGGAAGTGGCAGTGCAGATACTGTGGTTTCAAGATATAATGATCTTGTTCGTGATGCGATTAAGTGTGCAGAGAAGGGAGCTGTATCAGCCGGCGCCTTCAGAGTTGCAAAGGAAGTGCTGCACAAAGCCTTCATGGAGATCAGGGGTCTCGGAGAGAAACTGAACAAGGATGCTCTGCACTCTGCATCAAGCAGATAGCAGCGACTCGTTGTTTTAGAGGGCATTTGACAGATTAACCTGGCTTTCTTTAGCGAAAAGTTTGTTGAGCCAGCACGAGGAAGAACATCACGTGCTTGCGACAGTGATTTAGCGGAATGTCAGGTTGTCATGAAAATCCAGACTTGCTAGTGCATCCTTCGATCCTACCTGACTTTTTGTGGCGGCCAGGTAGTAGTAGTTTCTGGCTATCATGACATCACAAATCACAGCTGCTGGTATGCTGGAATGGCCAAGTTTGTCGGATGTTTCGTTGTTGTACAATTTATCATTTTTAAAAGGATATCTGGCGGTGAGTTTGTTCTTGTACTTCCCTCCGTTTACTTTTACTGTAGCAATTTTGACCATGTGTTTTTTTTTTTTGCAAAAGATTTTTAGATACATCAAGTTTTCACATATATGATTCTTCATTTTACATACTTGATTAATGTTATATACTTTGAAGTATTTAAGATTTTCTGGAAGAAAAAAAATGGCTGGTCAAATTTGCTACAGTGACAAGTAAACGAAAACAGAGGGAAGTGCAATTTAGGCTTGTTTGCTGAATCGTTCCTCTTCTAAAGGGAATTTGTTCAGTTCTGTTGCAAGCCTGCAAGGTGTGAGGAGTGTTGAACTTCACTCGTCCACTCCGGGCCTGTGGCTAGAAATTGGACAAGGCCCGCCAGTAATCTTCTGGCCCAAATTTTAACACGCGCGAAAAAAAGACAAAAAAAAAATGGTAAAACGCGAAGGGAGGAGAGAAACTTCAACGCGAACGGAACCAAACGAATGGCAGCAATGGCCAACACCACATCCCTCCGCTCCCGCCTCCTCATCCTCCCACCGCCACCGGCGCTCCCGACCGCCGTGTCCTTTCGTCTCCGCCCATGCACAACCACGGCCTCCTCGTCCTCCCAGAGGAGGCGGCCCCGCCTCGCGGCACGGGTGGCGCCGCCCGGCGGCGCTGTGGCCCCTGCGTCGGCCGCGTCGAAGGAGGATGAGCAGGGGGAGATGGGCAGCGGCGGGGGCCTGTCTGCGGCTGATGCAGAGAGGCTGTGTGAGTTCCTGCGGGTCGACCTGCCGCACCTGTTCGACGACGTCGGCATCGACCGGTCTGCGTACGACGACCGCGTGCGGTTCCGCGACCCTATCACCCGCCACGACACCATCGACGGCTACCTCTTCAACATCCGCCTCCTCAAGCTGCTCTTCCGCCCCGACTTCTACCTCCACGCCGTCAAGCAGGTTCGGCGCGCGCTCGCCACTCTGGCGAGGAGGACTCGCGCGTGCGCAGCGAAATTTCTAGTTGTGCCAGCTGTTGACCGTGCTGAATTTGGTTCTAGACAGGGCCGTACGAGCTCACCACGAGGTGGACCATGGTGATGAAGTTTATGCTCCTGCCCTGGAAGCCGGAGCTGGTCTTCACTGGCCTGTCGATCATGGGCGTCAACCCGCAGAATCTCAAGTTCAACAGCCATGTGGTTAGCACTCTTGCTTATCAGACGAAAATTAGATTAGTGTGGTTCACGTCGCGCAGGTGTAAGACATTATGTTCATTTCCCCTATTTGGTACCACATTGAGATGAAGCATATAAGAACATGCAAATGAGGACAATAGTACATGTAAAGAGCAATATAAAGTAGTTACAAGTTGTCAGGTGAACTAGTTAGCACACAACAAAAATTATCAGAGGTTTCTCTGACAAGTTTCCTGTCTGTTCTCATGTACGCCATGCTTATCTTAAGCTTATTGAGAGATAAGGCATTTTTTCTTTCTTTCTTTTTCTTCATTTTCTTTGTCACGAAGGATGAATCCAGGTAAACCTCAACCGTAGGATAACTTGCTCATCATGGCACCATTTTTAAGACCATACAGTAGGATCAAAGAATTGTATCAAGAGGAGCAGCCACGCAACAGAATTAGTTCCTTCCTTTCAGTTTATTATTTTCTTTTCTTTTTCTGCTTGCCCCATATCAGTGGTTTATTTTGGTCCTGCTGTCATTTGCTATATGGGCTATGGTATTTTTTTGCAGGCCAATCTCCTTCATTTAGATTGTAGTAATCAACAATAATATAGTGGTTTTCATTAAATGTTTCTGTATTTTTCTGTTACCCTGAAGTGCAGGATCTTTGGGATTCGATACAAAATAACGAGTACTTCTCTTCTGAAGGATTATGGGATGTTATCAAGCAGGTAATCTGCAGTGAGCCTATTATTTTCTTTTCACATGTCAACAAGTATTTAAAGACTCTGGTTTTTGGCATTTTGTGCAGCTACGGATTTACAAGACCCCTGACATAGAAACACCAAATTACCTTATTCTAAAGAGGACTGCACATTACGAGGTATTAATGCATCATCAATACTGATTTACAATGTGATTTGTGCTTGATCTACAATTTTGTGTACTCACAGCAATCTGAGGCATCATCTGTACTGATTTACTATGCATTTGATCTACAATTTTGATGTACATAGAGTAATATAATGCATCATCTATACTGATTTACAATGTACTTGATCTACAATTTTTTTATCTTTACTGATTGACAATTTATTTTGTACTCAGCAATCTAAGCCTCAGGTTGTTGACATCTAATGGCCCATCATTTGGTGCTTATCAGTAATTGTTACATTATAAGCATATATGTTTCAGATACCACTAATATATCATCTGCTAATTATTATTATGTCTAATCAAAGATCTTTCAGTTATTTGCACATACGTGTTTTACATTATTCTTATATTTTTCAAAACGTGGATTCCACATACATGTTGACTAGCATATATTACACAAATATATAGAAAGGGTTGGCATGCCCTCATAATCCACTATACATATTATCTACATGTTTTGTTATTTATATTATACATATGATCTTCACTTGTAGAGTCATAATCATAATCATTAAAAATTTCTAATTATAAATTTTAGTTATTTGCAAATTTTTGCCAGAGGTAAAATTTATGAGCATAACTAATTTATCAGGTTAGGAGTTATGCGCCATTCTTAGTGGTTGAAGCAAAAGGTGATAAACTGGCGGGATCGTCGGGCTTCAACAATGTAACTGGGTGAGATATTCTATACATTACAGTGATCAGCAAACATGTCAAACATATTCTTGAAACACGTGCCACAATACTGAATTTACTTATACATGTAGATATATATTTGGCAATAATGCTTCATCTGAAAAGATTCCGATGACTACACCTGTCTTCACTCAAGCTTCTGACGGCACACTTTCAGATGTATCCATCCAGATAGTTCTGCCAATGAACAAAGACTTGGACAGGTACATCCAAGGATTCAGATCTGAACTCCAGAGCTCCTGCCATTTCCTGTTACTGTTTTTGCCTTGGTGGTTTGCCACTTACTCCTACCATTTTTCTCTTCTTTTTTTCCTCTAAATTTTATGTTTTTAGGCTGTGACTTTATATAGGTGTGACAAGGTAATGAATGCGATAATTGCAGTAATTTGTATGGTTTTACTTCTGTGGTTAATGGTATTCTTTTTGTATCAGTTTACCAGCTCCAAATACAGCAGTTACTTTGCGGAAGGTAGAAGGAGGCATTGCTGCAGTGAAAAAATTCAGTGGACGACCAAAAGAAGAAATTGTGCTCCAGAAGGAGAAGGATCTACGCTCCCAGTTACTTAACGATGGATTGAAGCCTCATCCAGGCTGTTTGCTTGCACGCTACAATGATCCCAGGACAAAGAGCTTCTTAATGGTATATCTCCTTGTATATCTTTCATTATGAAATTTTTTATGAATTTCTCTCATAGTTCTAGAAAACTATGCGAATTCCCTAGGAAAACTAGATATTCATCTTCTAGGATATTGAATGTAAAATATTGCCTTACCCCTGTCTGCCCAGGGTTGCATAAAGCCACTTCGATCTTTTGACAATTGTATTCTATGTTTTCTTATTGAAATTGTGCTATTCCTTCTCCAAAGAGGAACGAGGTGCTCATATGGCTAATTGAATTCACACTGGAGTTGTAATCGTCAATACTGGCAACAGATTGATGTAACACGCTGGGTTTGGAGCTTCCAGTGCGTCATTAGAAAGGTAAATCTGATATTTTATTTGTGTATGTTACCTGTACAGAAGCCGTGTAAAGCTATTTATCATTTTTCTTTGAAACAATATTTACATGTTAAATTTAGAGCACTGTCTCACTCTTGCTGCTACACTTTCAGTCTGTCTGAGCTGCATTTGGTTTTGGTTTCTCTGCAGGTGAAATGATGTAGTTGGCAGATGTGCTTTATGTAAATGTAAATTCTGAAAGGTAATAAGCTACATGCTAAAACGACAGGTCATTTTGATTTGTTTATCGACCAAAATATTGAATTGACAAAAGAAGGAAAACATTAGAATGATAATACACGAGAAGTGCTCTTTTACTTCTCTTGCTTTTAGGATTGGATTGGCATTCACATCCTGGGTCTGCTGATCTGTTTTGGTTTAACTTTGCCTGGATAATCCAACTCTCTACACTGAACTGAATAAGGACACCCTGACTATGAACATTCAGCTGAACTGACTGTGCTCGAGTCTAACTAGAATTTAGCGCTTGTCCACAGGTTTCTTGTGATAATAGTATAATCATGCACAGTGAGAAAGCATACACAATGGATAGGCCATTTAGTTATGAAATGCAGTTGCCTCCTTTAATTTGCATAATCTGGCCTGGCCAGACGAACAGGTAGGCTGTCTATATATAATTATGAAATGCAGTTGCCTCCTTTCAGTTGACTGGTCACCAAACGCATCATCCAAAGCAGTTTTCAGCGCTATCTTAACTATGTCCTGGTCAGATAACCATTGTTGCATCGCATTGTTTTCAAGCCCCACGTCCACGGGTGCATGCAATTTGCATATCCAGTCTGTGTCCATAGATGCTGAAGGTTGGTGTGTCTGTATCCCTGTCAAGCTGTCCTGCCCCTGCAGGCATGCAAGCCCGTTATATGCTGGTAGTAGGTGAGAACTACCGATGTCTCTAGGACTATCCATCCCCTTTTCGTTTGCAATGCAGGTAACCGAAGAAGAGGTTTAAGAAACCCTGTAAGGTAATGTAACACTTCAAATATTACACCCCAAAAGCTCATGGATAAGGATTAAAGATGATAGCATAACTTATTTCAAGTCCTTTATGAAAAAAGTTGCAATAAAGAATTTTAAAAAGATGTGACAATACGTTCAGCAGAACTAAAATAAAAATAGATCTGCTTGCATTGTTTAAAAAAAACATTCTAGCAATTGGATAATCATCATCATCATCTCTATTTATTTGCAAAAAAAAAAAAAAAAAAAAAAAACCATTGGGGAGGAAATAGGCTGTCTTAAGGTGTAACTGATAACAAACTTATAGATCATATGATTTGTGCATGTGTTGTCATCCATCTTTCGCCCATGCGTTAACTCAACCAAACAGTCCTAAACACATGACGGCATGGTGTCGAGTAAACCAGCGTTTCATGCGGCGCGAGTAGCGTGAGTACAACTGGCAAGTGGCAAGGCCTGCCCATTACCCTGTTAGTGTACGATGGAAGTTTTTTGTGCGAGGCATTTTCCTTGTGGAACGAAGCTGTTTCAACCTTTTTTTTAAAAAAAAACTGAAGCCCTGAAAGAGAAATTTTGATTTTAGTTCCTCCCCTGTATTCTAAGTGTCCTTGTAGCTTCTTGTATGATTCTTGATATTAAAGACGCCCCCTTTTGTTTTTATAAAGTTTTTGTTGGCCTAACAGCTAACAATGCAAGGAGCTGTGTCAACACTGAAAGTGGACCTGCATTTTGTTAATTATAAGTCATGATGTGATTATGCAAGCATATAATATATGTATAACCAGTAGGAAAATTTGCGAGCGAATCTCGCTTAGTAATGGATGAGTCAACGTCGCGGTGGTTCATCGTCATTAGTGTGAAAGTAGCTCTTCGATAAATAGGCCCCAGTTCCTTCCGTGGCATTGGTACGCATTTACGAGAAGCTTCATTGACTACCAAACACTCATGTTTCCTTGTTTATTTTTCATTGAAAGGTTCTACACCACCAGTAGAAGAAACCTTGGTGCTCTTAGGACCTGGTTGACACAATTCCGACTGTAGCTTCGCCAGCAGCTTCTATGAAGGAGCAGGAGAAGCCATGAGTCATTTTCGAGTAGTAGAGGAACCAGTATTTTTGGTCTAAAAGAGAAGCCACGATTCATGGCTTCTCTGAAGGAGCATTTAAGGAGGTGTTATGCCAAAAAAAGCCCTTAGACCTTGACCTTGGATATCTAGGCATCTTTGTGCCCGGTAAATCTATACCTATTGTATCTGAATCTATTATTATAATAATATTAAAAGAATCCACCATACTTATGAAGAGGTTCTGTAAATTACCGTACCGGTCGAAAAAAGACACACACTATTGAATTTTATGATAATCTAAAGACTTAGAGTAATCGAAATTGTCCATAGCTAATACAATTAACAAATACTAAATCCATACTAATAAACTATGGGAAATATCAATTGGATTTCCATACAGAGTTGGAAAGAAAAACATCTAAATAAAGAATCCATGCAAAATATTGTAACACCCTTGTTGTATGTGCCCTTGGAGGAGTGTGCCAAGGGGTGGTCCTGGACATCCGTTGAATATGTGGTGAGCTGCCGTGGGCGTCAGCTTTTTCAGGGGAGTGAATGCAACCCCCCATCCTGTTAGAAGCATGTAGTAATTGTGCTGTTAGTCCATGTGGCACATAAAATGTTTATAGTTGGTGTGTTTAATACCTCCTCGGAAGTTAAGGAGGGTGAATGTCAACTTATAATCCTTGTCGTTTCAAACTTAGCACCTCCGGGTTCACTGTTTCACATGAAATAAGGACGAAAGTGTAAGAGAGGTGCTATGCGTATGCAGGCTCATTCCAGGTGCAGAGTTGGGCCGTATAAGCAGTTTTTTATGCGAGGTGTTACAAATACAACTACAATTAATATTGGCAAAATCTACACTATAAAATAAAAACATCAAGTTTATGGGGTTGTCCACCCTTGCGAGGTGTTACAAATACAACTACAATTAATATTGGCAAAATCTACACTATAAAATAAAAACATCAAGTTTAGGGGGTTGTCCACCCTTCTAATCTTCGTTCCTTCGTATGGCAAACTCAATACAAACCATCAAATTAGAATGTTACTCTATGCCTCGGAATCTTATTCCACACCCTCATTGTTGATTAGTGCCCATGGCATGAAGCTGCGCCATCATCCACCATCAAGCCACTTGATCATCAACACAAATCAATAGGCTTGATCTCTTAAATGATATGATCCACTTCGTAGCTTCATATGGCCTTATTAGTTCATCAATCGTAGTCTTGCTTGCTCTTCACCGTTGCCTCGGTCCATCAACGCCAAGCCTAGCTTGTCCTCCACAGTAGCAACCTGGTCCTTCATAGCCAAGTCTTGCCGCTTGATCTTCTCTACCTAACCACATGACACGATGTCATGTTTCATATGCAATGTGCTCCTTCAACTCCACTAGTTGAGCATTTGCATCTAGTCCAAGCCACCTCTCCATCGTGGCTCTATGTATTGCCCATACTAGTTTACCTGTGGACTAAACATCTGTGTATCTCACATAAAACGCATTAGTCCACCTAAGATTATCACTCAATTACCAAAACTAAACTGGGACTTTCAATGGGGCACTGCCCTTTTTATTTCCTCATCTTCCTTAGCTCTATCATTAATGATCACCAATATATCCATCATTATATTAAATAGTATGGGATACAATGGATCGCCTTGTTTGCACTCTTTCTTCGTTTGAAAGTAGGTCCCAAAAGATCGCTTACCATGATAGCTACATTTCCTCGTACAATCTAGTTACACCATTTTTGTGAGAAACCTTTCACACAGAAATTGGTTATAAAAGGTCCATTTTACCTTGTCATATGTCCTTTTAGAATCAATTTGAATAAAACCCATTAGATTTTTCCTTTGTAACTCCTATACGGTCTCATGTAATCTTATCTTATCTTATACTCTTATAAAGCTAAACCCACTAGATATTTTCTCTCTTCATGCAAGATGTCCACATCATTTCTCACTAAGTGTTCCACTAACTCGCAATCCTTTCATGCATGCTATCCATGTCATCCCTTATTAATTACAAAAAAATTATCCACATCATCTCAATTATATGCAATACCTTTAATCTTTAATCTATTAACGTAAAGTCATCTACGTATCCTATTTGTTTGATCACCTATCTTCTATAATGTTTCTCTCAAAAAAAAAATATCTTCTATAATATAATATTCATATATATACACAGTATACAGAATACCATATAGTAATAATATATATAAAAAAATTATTTTTAAGAAAATCCCGCGGCAGCACGCGGGGCATGCTTCTACTATAATTAATGTTCATGCCATAGAGTTTGTGAAGGACGGATTACCTTTTGAGTTACTAAAGCAATTTTAGTAGTGACCACTTTGGTAAAAAAAAACTGAAACTCACGTCCAGCAAACATATCAGTAAATTTTTACAGCATTTTTGACAGTTTACTTGTATAGTTTTTTTTTTGAGAAGTCTAGAGGAGGGGGGGGGAGCATCCCCCACCTGATTGATTGATTATCAGTGGCTCTGAAATAACCAAATAAGTTACAAAAACGTTCGTATCATATCAGACGCTAAGTTTACATTGCGTTACTTATTACCAAACACCAGGAGGCTGCTATTGCCCTGTCGTCTCTTGGCAGCCTTGCACCCCATAAATAAGCCTCTGTCTTGCATGCAGCTAAAGCAGCAGAAAGGGTTGTTCTTTCATCCCTAAATATGTTGTTATTTCTTCTTTTCCATATGTGCCAGCAGCACAGCAGCAAGAAGGTCGTGAAGTATTTTGCCGGGATGTGACTCGGTGCCTGGATCTCCTTAATCGCTTCAATGGGCAAGTTCGCCTCCGTCTGAATTCCAAGTGTCCACTATTCCTTTCCTCCGCAGAGTTGATTTACACGGAATCCTCTCTTGCGATAGTAACCATGCAAAAAATTTAACTCAGAGGGGCCTTGTTAAGCCACACAAATTTTGTCCAGCTATCTGGTTCAGAGTAAGCAGTTTTCATTGCTCTGTATAACAGCGAGCTATCAAGTACATCATGCGTCGTTTACTGCGGAGTACTCCTACATACGAATATACGATAGGGGTGCAGGCAGGTCACATCTCACATGGGCTGCTGCGTCATGTGCCAG